AATAATAATAATAATAATAATACTAATAATAATAATATTAATAATAATAATAATAATAATAATAATAATAATAATAATAATAATAATAATAATAATAATAATAATAATAAAAAAAATATATTATTATATCCACGGTGGCCGTATATATCCATATATCCGTATTTTAATACTGGTGAGTTCCGGCTATACGAAATTGATTATAAGATTGAAAAAAATAATATTAATCTCATTATTGTTGTACTAATGCTATGTACACGTTTTAATTATTATTATTGATTCGTTTACGTTATTACATTTTTATTTAAATTTAATGTATTGTTTAAGGATAAATTACTATGTCCATGTTAAATTAATCTTATCTATTTAAATCATATATTTAAATAATAATAAGAATAAGCACAGCACCGAGACCACCGATTATTGCCCAAAACGTAATGCAATAGTAGCATATTGACTACTATTGTATATTTTCGGAAAATATTTCAGCAGCTCCAATTTTCTATCCTATCCTTCATATATTCTTACACAATTTTGCGTTTATTCATATTTTTCATATTTTTTATACACTCACATAGTCACTTGTTTAGGCCTAAGCTAGACCTCGGATATACCTATTATTATTTAAATATACAATTCAAAGAATAAAGGAAGAAGGTGGTTCAGTGCACTGTAAACTGTGCAATGGAAGGCTCCGACCGTCTGCCGGCGCTGTAGTTTTTAGCGAACTTTCGAAATGGGCGACGCGGGGAGCTGCGACGGGGAATTCAGTCAACTATGAACGTCGTACTATGCACTTCCAGTCTCAACATCAAAGCTGTTTCGATTTAAATGACGACGCGCTCCGGATCCCTCGTATCGCATGATCTATTTTGCAGAGCACATATTTATAAAACTCACGTTGCCGAAGTCAACACAATCGCATTACGATTTCACGCTCCACTGCCCGTCGTAGAACGCCGCGTCGTCAAAATCTAAAGCTGCTTATTTGCTCATTTAGTACGAGAGCATTTCTCTATATTTTGAACACCTGATACAGTAGTACGCCCCGACAGCAGGCGGCGCAAAAACGTCATGTCAATAATATTATACCCATTTATATTTAATATTATACCCATACCCCATTATTATACCCAAACCAACCTTTGTTTTTGGAATTAACATATTACAAATATTTCTAATTTTATTAAAAATATTTTTCAATGTCAACCTAAATTATGCTACGTTTTGGTGAAATTTTGCGTAGCATAACTGCCAAATGTTACAGAGGTCTAAATTATGCTACAAAGCATAATGCTACGTGTGGCCACGTTGACGCTACACAATGGAAATAAGATAACGTGGAACTTGGTATTTTCATATAAACATGAACAGCGCCATCATTTTTTACAATAGATAAAGTATCACGTTTTTTTTTTCTTGTAGGCCTAATATCAATTACTTTTAAAAGTCACATACGTTAGTTAAATATTGTTAAATATTTATATGTTGCTTTAGGCAGTTTAATGTCAGTGCTTCCCACTATTGTGTGCTTATATTCAACGTCAGTAATATCGATTCAATTGAATCAAATAATGAATAGCAAATCAGTGGTTCCTCTACTCTATACGTCAGTAACACTCAAATCAAACTTAGAGATCTACAATTATAGTTGTAACAACCAAAACAGCATGCAATGTTGGAAATTTTGAGTATAGTTTTCGTTCATTCATTGCTTATTATCAGCTCTGTTGTGTCGGGTAAGTATCATTTTGAAAAAAAAAATATCAAACAGCTCAACAATTATTTAATTAGTAGATTTATTTATATTTATTTAAGATTATGCTTTTATATTATTGTGGTGGTGGTCCTATTAGTAGTTGTGGT